CAGAATTAGAGACTTTCCGAACATAACTGTCGACAAATATCGTTTTCTGTATGATCTTGGCTATGGAGATCTCTTCTATTAAATCTCAACCGCAGTTTGGAGCGTTATTCGCGTATTTCGACTCCAAAAAGGGCGTGAATGAACTTGTCGAGAAGTTACCTTAAAATGTCAAGGAGAAATGGACCTCTGAAGCTACACGCTATAAGCAACAGAAAAATGTTCTGTATCCTCCATTTGAGTTCTTCGTCAAGTTTATTGAAAACATGGCTAGCATGAGGAACGACCCTGCCTTTCAGTTCGAACCCAAGGTAGCTAACCAGAGGCAAGCTACTGCTCCTCGACAAAATAATCCGAATTCGAAGTCGCCATCTTCTACAAAGCGAAACGTAACCGTTATGAAGGTCAATGCCCAAGAATCGCCTGAGGACCCTGAAATCTGTCCGCTTCACAAGAACGGTAAGCACGTCCTCAACGAATGTAGACCGTTTAGACAAAAGTTTATCGACGAACGGAAAAAGATCATACTCCTGAGTGGTATATGTTTCCGTTGTTGTTCTGGAAAGAAACATCGAGCGAGAAATTGTAAAACCGAAGTCAAGTGTAACATCTGTCAAGCTGCAACTCATCCTACTGCTCTGCATGAAGAGAAAGGCTTAAGTTCTTCCCAGGTCTTCAATCCCAATACTTCATCAGGTTCTCAAAACTACGAAGGGGAGAGAAAGCCTGCAGAGACTGCTACATCAATGTGCACTCAAGTCACCGGCGTAAGCAAATCATGCGCCAAAATAATTCCAGTGCGTGTATTTCGCGAGTCCAGTCCTGAAGAATCCGTCATCGTTTACGCAACTATCGATGACCAAAGTAATCAGTCGTTAGGAACGTCGGTATTATTCAACCGTTTCAATGAGTCCTGCAAAGATATTCCCTACACTCTAGTGTCTTGTTCAGGCGCAGTCGCTGCTGCGGTCAGGATGTGCACTGGCTATAAGGTTCAATCTCTCGACGGAAGTTGCGAACTTGCTATTCCCAGTCTGTTGGAATGCAACGACATTCCTAGCAGCAGAAATGGGATTCCATCTCCCGAGGTAGCTATGCTTTATTCCCATCTGAGATACATATCACCGCTTATTCCGCATGTCATTGAAGATGCTGACATGTAGCTCCTTCTTGGCCGGGACGTTATTCGCGCCCACGTTGTTGAGGACCAGATATTGGGAGAAGAGGATCAGCCTTTTGCTCAGAAATACCGTTAGGATGGGTGATTGTCGGACAAGTTTGTTTTGGTGGAGCACATATTTCTGAAGTCCGAACTATGAAAAGCTACATACTAGGAAATGGTAGACATTCTAGGTTTTCACCATGCGAAAACGAGTTTTCCGTACAAAGAGATTTGTTTGAAAAGACTGATCAGGACGAGAGAATAGGTTTGTCGGTAGAGGATCGTACCTTTCTTGAAATTATGGAACAATCATTTGCGAAAGATGAGGATGGCCGTTGGGAAGCGCCTCTTCCATTCAAGAAGGATAGGACGCGATTACCGAATAACAAATGTCAAGCACTCAGACGAGCTAGATCCTTCGATCGTTGTTTGCGTCATAACGAGCAAAAACGTGCCCATGTGAAGGACTTAATGAAAGCATTTTTCACCAGAGGTCACGCAGAAAAGGCTCCCGATTTACATGATGACGCAGAATGTTGGTTCCTCCCTTTGTTCGGGTCTACCTTTCTAAAAAACCGAGTTCCATAAGGGTCGTATTTGATTCCTCTGCCCAGCACGAAGGGATATCCCTTAACGACGTGATGATTAAGGATCCTGATTTGGCCAACAACTTGCAGGGTATATTGATGAGATTCCGCCAAGAACAAATGTTCCACAACTTTCGAGTTGTTGAACCTCATCGCGATTACCTCCGTTTTTTCTGGCATACGAACAATGACTTGGATTCTCCCTTGGAGGTGTTTAGAATGACGGTACACGTGTTTGGAAACCGAACTTCTCCCGCGGTTGCGAACTATGGCCTTCGTAAGTCGGTGTCATCTGCTGATCCGGATGTGCAGAAGTTTGTGTCGGACAATTTTTATGTGGATTACGGACTGATGAGTTTTCCGAGCGTTGAAAGGGCTGTTAGTTTGGTACAGAGAACGCAGACAGCGTTGTACGATGGCGGAAGATTTAGGCTCCATAAGATCGCTTCCAATTCGACGGAGGTATTGGAACTGTTCCCCAAAGAGGATTTAGCGAAAGATCTTAAAGATCTAGATCTAGGTCAAGACTGCTTACCTGAACAGAGGAGTTTGGGGATTTGCTGGGATATTGTTTCCGACCGTTTCTTGTTTCGCGCAGACAAAGACCTGAAACCATTTACGCGTAGAGGCGTGTTATCCGTGATTAACAGTCTATTCGATCCTATTGGTTTTACGGCTCCCGTGACAGTCGAAGGAAGGATACTCATGCGGGAGGCCATGTCGTCAAAGTGTGGCTGGGATGAGTTGCTTCCGGAAACGTTGAGGATCTATTTGGAAAGGTGGGTTGACGAACTTGTTCACCTTCAGGACTTCACCATTCCACGTATATACTGTTCGTTGTCTGTAGAGATGTCATCGCGTGTTGAAGTTCACGTATTTTCCGACGCATCGAAAGAGGCTGTTGCCGGAGTGGCATTTATCAAAGTGTTTTCTGAAGACTCTAGTGAGATTGGGTTTCTTACCGGGAAGGCGAAGGTGGCACCTGCACATGGCCACACGATACCGAGATTAGAACTGCGTGCTTCGCTTCTCGCGGTCGACATTGCAGAAAATATTGCCAGTATCTACGGATCCAAAATCTCCGTCGATTTTTTTCGCCGTCGCTTATTCTTACTCAGAAACCTCAGGATACCGTTTCACCCCTAACGGGTTTTGGCTCGAAGGATGCTCTAAGGAGTCAGTGGAAATTCATGCAACGTATGGCCGACGAATTCTGGCGTCGTTGGAAACGGGACTATCTTCATTATTTGCAAGTTTGTCAAAAATGACAAGGGCCTGGAGTTTCCTTCAAAAAGAATGACATTGTGTTGATGAGGAATGACATCAATCGCAATAATTAGCCGATTGGAGTAGTTGAGGAAGTCTATCCGAGTAGTACGAAAAGTGAAACTGTCAGTTATTCTTGGAGATACTCGTGTATCATATGTTCGACCTATTTCGGACCTTGTTCGATTAGTTGCGTTCGAATGAACTGATAAACATTTTCATGTGTAGTGGACACATCTGACCTTAACATTTGAACTTTCTGTGAATTCGTATGTTTGTGTTCTTATGATCAACATTATATAATTTTAGGGTCCGACAGAAGTAGATCGATGTAGTAACATTTAATTCTATATAACACTTATTGGCGATTTCCTTTGTAAATCGGAAGGCAAGTGCGATGTATCCGGAAAGTCAATCGGTTCCGCCGATCGACTCCGGCATTTAGTATCGCCGTAGAAAGCATTGTTATGAGCCGCCATGTTTGACGCTGTTTGTTCAGCGCGGTTTTCGGATGTTTGCAGAGTGCAATACATAGAGATGCACCACGAATCTTTTACCCTCACTGGAGGATGGATTAAACATCAAACCTAGAAGAGTTGTTTGTTCTCGCACAGATACTTTATTAATCAGGTATATCTAAAATATCGAAGTAGCCATTTACTTCTAAAATATTTTAAGAATATTGTAATTTTAGTGTTATTTCATGAATGATCTTCCTTTAAAATATCTTAAGAAGACATACCACACAGACACATGCGTGACCTTTAATGGAAAATGGAGGCCCAAACCAAGATCACTAAGCAATCATTTAACTGAATGTTGAATTCATAATGCACTTTGAAAAAGTAACATGATAAAAGTTTTTTATTCACAAACATCCAAATGTTCACTTTATCTAATTATTATATTTTTTTGTTCCGAAATTTTCTCGTTTCCCAGATATTCCGAGCAAAAATGCTGTAATTCTCATAGAATTCGAGATTTTAATGCACCTTGAACATAATGAACTATAGACACTAGAAAATAGCAAGCCTTACGGTAGATAACGTAATGCATCCGTCTTAAGTCAAACATTTGTTTTCTAATTACCAAGGCGACTTCCGGAGCTACGTGCATCCAAATACCTTAACGTAAAGGTATGTAATAGCTTGTTTACTTTTCCAAGCGTAAAAAATAGGACACAACGAAATTAATTACACTCGTGAATGCCAGGAGGTCAATATTACGTTGTTGATAGTTTTTAAATACATATTTGACACAGTATGACAATGATGTGATAAAATGCTATAAAGGAAAATGAATATGCATTGCCATTTGTGTCGGTTTAGAGAGGTTGCTATGACAAAATTAATTTATGCGGGAATTTATAAGACACACAAGTGAATATACCTTTCCATAAAAATTCAAAATTGAGATACAGGAGACCGAAGGAGAGTCAAGAACTAGATGAGGCTAGTGCGATACCCTACATAGATATTGACATTTCTTTCGACTATTTATTTTCTTTTCCTAAGCCGTCTTAGCAGTTTAAGACCTTAGCATCAATGACAATATCGCTCGTGCTAATCGAGGGAATTGTAAACGTGTAGTCATACATAATACACTTTCAGCAAACAGGTGCAATACAATGAATGTTTTCAGTCTCCTTTACTCTGAATTATTTGTTGAAAAGTGAGTCATCAAAACTTCGTTCAACAAATGAAGTTGAAAAACGGTCCTTTTAATTTTCTGACAAAAAAGTAAAATTAGGATGGAAATTGACGGTGACCGGATATCTCCTTTTTTTCTCTGATCAATAAGAGTTGGTGGACTTTTATTCCCTAGGTTTACCGAAAGCTGCACGTCACATTTTACGTCATTCGAATAGTGGCACGGTTCCGAATATTCTAATGTACTTGGCATTGTTCCAAAATTATCAGATACATAGGAAATTTATTGAGTTAGATCAACAACACATCTAGATGCTGACTTGAAAATTTAGACCCTTAGCATCATCACCGAGTACTAGAATGAAGAAAGAGTTGTGTGCTGTTTAACTCATTGCTTGGCTAGTATCTAACTCTAAATTTGAATTGAAAAGCGCTTTTCACTTGCGTGTCTTTTGTACATTCCTTAAAGGATAAAGGAAAAGGTGAGAAATACAGTGAATTGTCAAATTGAAGATTGATTGTTTGAATTCTGTGATTTTGTTATTTCTATCGGACTGAAAATTTCGAAAGCACAAAAGACAGGATAAGCTACCCATTTCATTTGTAGAAAGATTCACGCCAAACTACAAAAACATTGAAAACGGAAAACAAGGGAAAACTGAATTGAACATGCACAACTTGAGGCCAAGGAAACACACTGCATAAAAGTGATAGATATTATCGTAAACCCTTTCACTGGCTAAAGCAAAACATAGTTGAGGATTAGATTAGATGGGATTTGAACAGGTCATTATCTCATCGCATTGGAAGATGCTGGGTTAACAAAATACTGATGCAAAAGATAACAACAAAATTTTTCCGTCTTTAGATAAATAATTTATTTTCACAACATAAACATTAACAATTATCATCTCTTCAAAACCCAATAACGCATATATCATTTACAGTATATCATACAATCGACGAGCATACTTTGTAAATTTGATTGCATGCCACATTCATGTGACACCAAATCATCGCCAACTCAACCGACAGCAATTATAAGCAATCAACAATAAAAGTTTGGTGATAAATTCACAAATTCCCTTTTAAAATCGTATCCATGAAATTAGTCTATTATTAATTCCACCCAGATCCTATTTAGTTTGTTAGCATTTGTCAATTTTCATCAATATTGAATATGATAAAACAAAGTGAAAAAAAACCCATTACGTTACTAAATATGAAACCAACTTAATTCCGATGTCAATTACCGCAATGATACGCACCATGAAACGTGTGTGTTACGTGTTTTTACAATCTTAAATAGAAAAAAAACATATCTATATGTCTTTGATATGACCGCCGCCGAATGCACATTCTCTTATTTCACCAAAACAGCAAAAATGTAATTCTTATAAAAAAAAACAATCAGTTGTAAGCAAACAAAAACCGATAATCTCTTACCGATCTGAGACACACCAAACACATAACATATATTTCACTTTTAACATTTCAAGACCACACTGAATAGACCGACAGATGAGGTCATCTTCGAAATGATATAAATTACCATTGACCTTTACCATTCCATCGCTTCACAAGAGCATCAACAAAGTCAATTAAAATATATTTTCAATTTCAAACAATCAGTCAAAACATATTTAGTTGAGTGCATTGTTAGTTTTCGGAGATTCAGGCAAGAACTTTAGAAAAAAAAACTTTTAAAGAAGTTTTATGGATACATGTATTATAAAAATCTTCTTAAGACAATACAAATTTAGGTAGAAATTTTATTTTCAGAATTTACCATAACTTCAAAACGTGGCAATACCAAGCATGGAATAAATGTAAATTGTATCGAAAACCATTCTGAGGCTTACAAACACTATAAATAACATGGCAAGTGAAATAGTAACAAGGAACGTTTAACTCCTTCGTATATCTACTACTTTTTTGAGATTCCATATATATATATATATAAAATTACATAAACCACATCGGTTAAACAAATATCATTTAACAATAAAAACTTTTGACAGTCATTGGTAAATAACCTGACAGGAGGTGACACTGGTTCCGTCACCAAGTAATACATCAATACATCTACTGGGGCAATAATAGGTGTGTTCACTGTTTTCTCTCAAACATACAGCACTCCTCTACTAACATTCAAACGTAAAGTATGAAGGTTTTACTGAACCTTAAATATTACCACATACGATATATTTATAGTTAAATATTGTGAAACTAATATGAAGTCTAAGCCTCAAAGATATTGTTTGATCATATTTAAAATGTTTGGTCATGGTGAAAGGCATCATTTGTTTTCAAAATGTAGGAATGACGTTCAAAGCACAAAGAGCTGTTGAAGCACAAACATAGCTGTTGTAGCACAGATTCAACTGTTGAAGCACAGACTTTACTGTTGAAGCACAAACTCAGCTGCTGAAGCACAAAATCAACTGTTGAAGCACAGACTTCACTGGTGAAGCACAAACTCAGTTGTTGAGTCAGCAGAACTGATCCGATTTAAAATCAATATTACATCACTAGATGTACAAGCAAAAGAACTCAGAAATGAAAAGGAATATTAATCTCAACTATGAAGCTAACATTGTTATCAACGCGTCTAAATTCTAAAGCAGCAAAATTATTACGACTTCCTGATATTTTATCCAGATTTCATTGTATGACTTTGACACCAAGGCAAGAAACAAATTTCTAAAGTAACATAAGAAATTCATACATGTAAGTGGCAAGATGACCTTACGGTCGTCATGGCAATATTCCAGAACAACATTTGTTCCCTCAAGAAAAATCTACATAGCTGAAGTTGATTTCTGAACTGATAAAAGACGAAAGATGAATAATAAGTTTCGTTTTTCGGGAGTGTATGCAGAGAAATTACCAACAGACTAGATTATGGCTAATGACATGCAGTAGATATTTTGGTAAGTTGAAATAAAATATTTTCCTGGTAAACAGCTTCCTTCAAATATGAATATGAAATATTCAAAATGAATTAGTGCAGTATGCTGGTTCATTACAAACATCAGTTCACTATGTTAACCCCGGATTTTGAAAGAAAATATTTTTTCTACGGAAATGATGTTATAGCATGTTTTCAATAAAACTTCTATGAAATGATCCAATATACCGAAAATGCTTGCCCAGCTTGAATAGAGAAGATTTTTTTCTTTTTCATTTTTCCTTCTTAAATAACCTTCGAACACTGGGGAAAAGAATTAC